GATAAGTGTAAGAGGTAATGTAAAACAATAATTTATCAATACATTAACTTATGCTGCCTCATCAAAGGCACCACTGGGACTGTTATGAGCCATATTTACCTGGCTGCAAAAACCACAGGTTGATGTAGATACTAATAACCACCTCCCAACTACATGTAGATTTTAGTCACTTCTATTTACAATTCCATTTTATTAATCATGAATCATGTCACTTGTACATGTTAATACTATAAGTGCATCGAATGAATCCTTAAAAGTTCATCTGCCTGAGGAGGGTCAGATACTTCTGAACAGGCTTGGTGTCTTCAGCTTAGAATCATTTGTAGGCTTAACATCCCCTTCATTGTTTGCTCCTGCTGGAGTACAAAGGGTTTTGCAAATATATTGAATCAGTTGTCTTGTTATAGGGTCAAACACCCTTTGAGAGATGGTCCGAAGTCTCCATTATGAGCTTTTCAGGAACTCTGGCACAATATAAATGAAATTTTGAAGTGGCACACAATAAATGATGAAACATCTTTTCATTTCCCAAATGTGCAGGAATAAATCAATTTTTAGTCAGATGTATTATGCCCTAAAGGTACTACACTTAAAGCAAAGCTTCTCAATTTAAAATCTTTGTAGAGGTTTGCAATAGAGTATCATGCTCCATAGTAGCTGGTGGAAGTTTCGAAATATATTAACAGCTTTATTCAAGGGCTTGTTGAGCGTTGTAACGTACAGCTTTGTCAGTCAGGTTCATGTGTTTTTCATTCCCTGGAAAATTCTTTGAACTAAATTCAGTGTACTCCACATATTTAACCTGTTTGTCAGTACCAAACATTCATTGTTATAAAAGTAAATTTTTCTGTTTTGAACTTCCTTGCTAAGTATATTCCCTTAAAATAAAAAACAGCATTTAGATGACTTTGTGGAGTGTCTGACCCCTCAGCTCCAGCATTCCATAAGATATCCTCATCTGAAATGATGACCCTTGCTTGGACTTTTATAGCCACAATTCCTTGATCATGAGGCTTCTTGTGCATATTCTCCAAAGGGTGCACAGTGGCTTAAAGTCACCGTCAGTGTCTTGTACTTTCAGTGAGAAAAAACAGATTGCATGTAACATTGAGCCAGTATTGATGACAAACTCCTTGGACAGTAAGAATTACCATCTCCTTTCTGGACCTCAGTAAAGGAACAACACAACCACTCGAACAATTTGACCATCAGAACTACATAACAAGTGATTAGTATGACCTAAAGACACTCTCCACTACTCAAAAATATCAACTGCCAACTAAGTTTACCTTAGTGTACATTAGGGCAAAATTTTTCCTGAAATTTATCTCTTTTGGGTTGAGAATAGTGATAAGTTTCAGTGGATACCGGTTGCTTATATCTTCCTTTCAACGTCAGCAATAATTTCTTTTGTGAAGCCGGCTCACAATCTATTGGTTCCTGTCGTTGGCACTACCTTTGCCTAAAAGGGACAAGGAAAGCAGCTGCTTTGAAGGTTATAACTCAGAATCATTTATATTTCTCTTTGGTAGCCTCTTTGAAGAAGGAGGTTCCAAGTTAGCATCATTGTCTAGTTCAATAATTCTAGTATGTTGATTTATGGTATGTAATAGGGTAATCACTCCAACTGCAATCAGTCATTTAGCTATAGAAGTGCGGGGATGCACCATTAAAATAGGACCCTATCAATTGGAAGCACATACTAAAACAACCTTGATATACGTAATTGATGTCATTACTTTATATATGTTTTACAGTAAAGTTTCATGTGAAGTCATGACATAATCATTACCTACTCACTTAATTCCCTAAAAGGATTCATTTCGCAACTATAACTTTCCAAATTGATTTGCAAATATGGATTGCGTCGAACTAATATTCTTTAATTTTAAAGTGTTCATATAATGTTAAAAGCCCACATTTCAGTCAGCAGTGTATTTTTGACATTTGAAGAGCAGATAGGCATACACAATACGTATTAGTTAGGAAGACATACCAGTTTGCTCATGATGTGTAGAAGGTGTTTTTGCAGAAAAAGCAAGTGGACATAAGGTAATTTAATTAATTTATACATATCATTTTGTAAGATTTGAAATAATGAGGTAAGATTTTTGATTATATCTACTACACTTGTGATACATGCATGTAGGTGATGTTTGTAAGCCACATCAATTATGCAAGCATCAACTTATTTATGAAGAGGAATTGCATGTATAATGAAAAAGTGAAATTTAAAATCATGCTAACAATTCGTTAATATTCTATAGTTAGGATGGCTGAAAGTCTATATGGGATGC